TTCAGGCATTTTTGTGTATTTACAACACATGGAAGAACAGTCAGTGTGGTAGTCAGTGTCACGTCACAAATGCGGCACTGGATACATAACGGTGAACGGGCACTAGATCTATATTTACGGTCTGTGATAGCCGGGGTTGATAGTCAGGTTATGTTCTATGTAATATCAAGGGAAGGAAACCGTCCTGCATACACAAGCAAGTGTGTATACTTTGACTACGTGATTGTGCAGCCACCATTTATTCGTTCAACAACACGGAACAGCCAAATGTCTATTAATAGCAAGGGTGCTTTCCAGACAGTTCACGCCAATCTCAAAACCCATGATGCCGGTGCTCTTTGAGCCTGTGGAACCATAGCATCCTGGATTCTGTACCGGTAGTAGCAAGGCACCAATCGGGGTAACGGGTACAACAACCCATTGTCAGTAGGAACTCTCTTTTGAGGAACTACTTAAAAGGTGCATGACCCCGAAATCTGACCTTTCCTCTTAACCAATCCAAACCCCTCCCTTTTTCCGCCTACCACCAGGCGCTTCGCTCCCCTTTCCTGCCTTTCGCCTTCATCACTCGGGCTCATCTATTTTTTCTCAGGCGTTCGCTATCGCTTTTAGGCTTTGTTTTTAAACGCAGCATTGTTTACATTTACTTCATATCAAAACACGCTTTTACAAAAGTTTTACAATTTTGTTGAATAGATTTTTATATTTTATATTTTTTTTAAAGTCTTTTATTGCTCTTTCAAACATACCAGAATATTTTTCACACTGCTGCAGTTTTTGCACCATGCATTGTATCTGCCCTGCTCAAAATACTTATTGCTTGAAAAAATACCTTCACAACGCAGGCTTTCTGTCAAAACAGAATTATGCATACTTAAACTTTATTTTATTTTCATATACCAATAGTTTTTTACATTAAGTTCTCTTTTTTTCTCAGAGCTGCCATTCATTTTTGCTCGATTCCATTTTTCACATAACCCCGCAGCTGGAGGAATCACTGAGGATAACCCGCATCCCTAGGCACCCCGCAACCCCATTCGTAACTACTCGTGTAATTCAGGCAAGCCGGGATGGCGTCTCGTACCCCTCTCGTGGCCATGTTTACGACTGGGCCCTGTCTAAGCGCAAACGGGCATGGAGATTAAAATAGTCTAGTACTATTGCCAAGGAAAGATAACTCTGAATTTCAAAACATGGCTCCTAGAATATCCTATATCCCGTGGGCAAAACAGCAATACAGTCATTCCCTTTGTAAATATGTTTCAGTGTTTAAAGTTTCAGATCCTTTAGCTCAAGGTATATGTTTAACTTGTGATTGCATAGTTTAGCGAAGTTTCAAACTTCAATGGCGCCGCCATTTTCATGCTTCGAAATGCGTTTTACTACGCGCGATTTGATTGGTTTGCCAAGATTCTTGGCAATAATGGCGTACGATAGGGGTACGAGTCTTCTTGTAGGTCACGGAAAGAGGCGAGGCACGAAAACAGGTGACAGTGTCTTCCCTGAAAGAGTGACTGCAACTGGCTGTCCAAAACATGACAATGTCATGAACATGCTTCGTGCCTGTTTGAGCTAATGTCAGTTAACTCCGCGCCCAAAATATAAAATGTCGAGTGAAATACATTGATGTACTTACCTCCACACGCATGTGACACACGTTCCTGACCAGCGTTGCAAACTGCACCCTTGGTGAGCGGTGTGCGCCACAGACCCCCACTGCGGGTCAGAAAATCGATAAATTAGGCCCCGGTTTAGTATCAACACCCCCTACTATATAATATGTAAAGGTTCAGCACAGAAATACGGCGACATGATCGAAAACCAGACAATTACGCACACATCAATCAATATATCCTATTTTAAAGGCCTCACCGGGATCAAAAGCTTTTGTCCATATTTCCTATGTGTAGGGAGGCATATACACGTGCTCTCAGTGGGGTGCATTTGTTTTGTTTTTTTAATTGCCAAAGACCCGAGTTGCTGTGCCGGAAGTATACCAAACTAGGTCGTCAGCGCCGGGCTTTACGTCCTCCGGCGATCTGATTTGCTACTGATAAAACTACAAATACACGTGCAAAATGAGAGGGAATATCAAACGTCTTTAATGCATAAAGTTTTGACAAGATGTCACAGTGTGATGTTTTATCTTGGTAAGAATAATTTAAAAACGAGTAAAATTATTTTAAAAACCCACACACATAATAATCCATTCAGTGAGTGTAATGTGTTCTGCCATAGAATATTAACATAAATATATTTCAGTGTGAAATTTGACAATGTGAAAAAGAATATAATTGGTGACCATTTTTGTTGTTGTAATATATCTAGGTATTGGATGAAATAATTAGATGTTGAAATATATCCTTCTCTGTTATGACACATGGTCAATTTGAATTACTACTTTTCAGCATAAGTTCAAACCATGCCCATATTCCCAGCACTTCTGTTGATGTGGAAACTTGTGACGTCCATATCCCCAGCACTTCTGCTGATGAGGAATCTTGTCATGTCCATATTCGCAGCACTTCTGTTGACGATGAAACTCGTCAAGCCCATATTCCCAGCACTTCTGTTGATGATAACACTCGTCATGCCAATATTCCCAACGCTTCTGTTGACGATGAAACTCGTCAAGCCCATATTCCCAGCACTTTTGCTGTTAATGACACTCATCATGGTCATAATTTGAAGTATTATGTATGCCAGAGTTTTAAAACGCAGTATGTAAGAAATGTTATTTTTGGCTAAACGTACGAATTATCGCCAGTGACTGAGGGGATGGTGTAAATCCAACAAGGGTCCATGCAGGTACTGTAATGTAAGTTCCCATGGAACCCAGTATTGTGATCTACTGTCGTAGGTACTTTGATGGGGTATGGGTTTTATCTGGAAATATAGACATGTTTGTATATTCTCTGAGTTAAGTTGAAGTTGTGTTATCTAAATCTAAATCACAGTGCTGACAACGTACATGAAATATCAGCAGCTTATTATCACAACCACCAGTACAGCTATGTACAGGTCAGCTGCCTGCGTGTAATTAACTCTAATTAACTTTAGAGTATGGCCGGTTGGCCACGGAAGCGTAACATTGTGGATGAGGTGCATGCTGGATACTGCAGGTGGACCATTCATGTATCGTAATACGATACGGGGCAGCCTGACAGACAGTAGTATATAGACAATGAATTCTGGATGTAACGGGACTTGACCCTTGGACAGCGGCTAGGCAGGTGGGCTGACGATCGCCTCTGTGATGCCGCCTGGCCGTTGCTGCACTACCATGTAATTGCATATCTAGTTGCCGAATAAAGTGTTGTGGATCCACTGATGGACTTCTGTGTTTGAAGAGACAGATACCCCAAAACCTTTAACCAGCCCGGGATACTACCTTCAGTGACTGGCGATCTATAGCCCATTGCTATACTGTTCTCTGTAGTGGTATATTTTTGTGATTACATGCTAGTTTTAAATGTTCATCTGTGACAGTATAGCTATTTTAGTGTCCTTCTTTGACAGATATTGATATTGACTAGGTTTATGTTAATGTGGAACTCTCATAGTCACGATATGGCTGAAATACTGCCGATGTGACTTTAAAGTTTCACTCACTCACTCACTCACTCACGCGCTGACGCACTCACTCACTCACTCACTCACTCACTCACGCACGCACGCACGCACGCACGCACGCACGCACGCACTCACTCACTCACTCACTCACTCACTCACTCACTCACACAATATGAAGAACCGGACTCGAACAGGATGGAAGTAACGTATTCTTATCAATTTTCAAAGCAAGTGCCAGTTTATGAAAGCCCTTCTATTTTCAATATATTGTGCATTTCGCATTCAACATATATATGGGACTAAATGGAATATATATAGGAACTAATATACATATATTATTTTTCCATGGAGTGAATGTGCATCATTAGACAGGAATGGAGTCTATTGGGTCAATCTTCCTTCACATCTTGTATGGGCCATCTTTTGATGGGCTCCGGTGTGAGGGGTACAATGTGCTACGGGCATTTTAAAGGACGGGAGGCGAATCTTTTGTCGGGTACTTTTTAAAGTACAATTTATACTTTGTTACAGACAAAACCGACGAAAATAGTTTAATGTCGAAAATTTGGGCTAATGGATATGGTCCTGGAACTTGCAGTTAAGCCACATTCACACGTTATATTTGTTCAGTAATGATTCGAAGGCTGACACCGTCGTGGCGTCACCAGCCATGCTCATGTCTTCTTCGTTCCTTAGTATGACCCACATAACCATACATTGTTCCCTTCAACACTTTACTGTCGCAGAATCTCTCAATGATTTTTATAAAAGAAGGCCATTCATGCGTACCGTGAATTCGATGCCTGTGTTCGCGCCATTTCGTCTCATAAACCAGTCGTGACTCCACTGTGTATTGCGTAGATAACCGACTGGGGAGAGTGATCAATGGGCATGTGATCATTGGCAATTGTTGCAGATCATCATAATGGGGATAGCATGTTTACCCCTAACCTAAGTAATTCGACCCTTTCTGTGACCCTATATGTACCTGTTTCCTTGTACTAGCACACTCAGCAAGTGTGACGTGGTTCTCCAAATAATCAGGTCTGGACCAGACAATCCAGTGATTGACTTTATAATCATCGATCTAAGCAGTTGAGATACGATGACATGCATCCCCTGAGGCAGTAAGCCTTACCTCCAGCAGCATGGGCTGCTGAATGTGAATTCTAACTGGGATCTTCATGGGTACCTTGATTCGGCAGCGGATGTCCCAGAAGTGACAATATAAGGCACAATGTCACACCCTATTTCTCTAGAAATACATAATGCATTTCTCTCAATAACACTAACTATCAGCCCTCATGGAGGCTACCAAATTATTTATTCCCAAAACAATTACGTATTAAAATTACAATATTGAATTATAAAGTTCAAACGAGTTAATGCAACTCTCGCGCCCTCCACTGGCTGAACATTATCCGCCTATGTTGGCATGGTACAACGACGACAGCAAAAAGACTCTCAGTGAGGGTCAAGGGGCAAATGTCAGAGAAAGTTAGCCTTCAGTATGGAGTTCCACAGGGTTCTGTACTGGGACCAGTGTTGTTCACTATCTGCACATCACCTCTCGCAGACTTTGCTCGCGCCAATAATCTCTCGTTCCATCTATACTCCGACAATACCCAGCTGTATCTGGCCTTTAAGCCTTCCAACAGAACATCAGTAGAGGAAACATATCGTCGTTTGATGAACTGTATCAAGGACATCAAGGGTTGAATGACCCTGAACTTTCTCAAGCTCAACAATGTGAAGACGGAAATGCTGATTCTCCCTTCAAAGTCAACAAGAGGCAAACTTGCTCTGCCCACCTTTGAAATTGGAGGTTGCATCATTGAACCAAGCAAAGAAGCACGAAATCTGGGATTTGTATTTGAGCCATGAATGCAAAGCCATGAATGCAGAGTCCTTTGTAAACAAAGTATGCAGACATGTATATTTTAACATCCGAAACATTGCCCAAATACGTCGATACATAAATCTAAAGACCGTAACATCTCTTGTTCAGGGCTGCGTTGTATCCCATTTAGATTACTGTGATGCTCTTCTCATTGGACTACCAAAGCAATTGATAGCAAAGCTGCAGCGCGTACAAAATTGTGCAGCTAGACTTGTGACAAAGGCAGAAAAAGACAAACACATTTCTCCAGTGTTAACGAAACATGGTTGAAGATTCGGACAGAATCACTTATAAAGTGCTCCTGTTTACCTTCAAGGCAAGGGCAGGCCTAGCTCCTGTGTATCTCCAGGAACTCCCCCCAGGAGTACAAGTCCGCGATGTCTCTTAGATCCACGGGACAAAGCACGGGACCACCACCTTTCGCGTTCGCCAGAGCAGCTCCATTACTCTGAAATGATCTGCCATTAAACCTGAGACTTGTCAATAACTTAGCCACTTTTAAAACCTTTTTCAAATGCATACGCCTAGTGGACATCGTTGATACATGTTACATGCATCCTCTCAAAGTGCTTTAGCGTTTAATACTGACTGGATTCTTGCGCTATATAAGTTTTTAGTTGACGATGATGATGACAGAAAACTAGACGCACACAAAAAACGAAACAGCATAAAATCCTGGTTAGAACTGGACTTCTGCATCCAAGACATGTCGTTAGAGGTGACCTACATGATCGGGTAAGACTCCCAGACTTGTCTCTCACCTTAGATAGATATCATACATCCTGTTTGAGTGGAGCACTGGATTGTCTGGTCCAGACTCTATTATGCAGAGACCAGTGTTCTATGGCTGCAATATTGCTGAGTGCAGCGTCACACAACAATTATACAAAATATATTCTCCCCACAAATCTGCCTTTCTCGAGCTACAGATAACGTAACATACCTTCGACCGTCCTCAGAGCTGAAGTTTTCACTGAACAAACAGACAGACAGACGTTATTGACACATGCCACAAACGCCTTTGGTCATACATGGAATCATTTTACAATTGTCAGTTGTAAGATGGTGAGGATTCACAACTAGATACTTCTTTATTTGTTGTTTCTCACCCGGAATTATTTATAAGTAGACATTGTTTTTTAGTATTTTTCAACTGTACAAAATTATATACTGAATAGTGTTTATAATAATATGCTTGATATACCGTGATTCTATATAGGAATAAGCTGGGCATTTAATGCGGAAATGGCATTCGTATTCTTGATCATTTTCATCAACTTTTCATTACATCTTCTTGCTTCCCGTGGGATTCTACCACTATCATGTCTACTAGTTTCAACAAATATTGAATGGGATGACATTCTTGTTTGTTCGCATAATTTGAAATACTATTGTGATACGATTCATAACCAAAATAATCCTTGTAGTAGTCCAGTTTCTTAATGAAAGATTTCAGTGTGTGATATATTTACCCAGTAATCGATACATGGATGGGTTTTCCGGGTTTGCACGGGTTATCTTACACTGTTATTCCTGGAAGTATTGTCGCTAACTTGTTGAAATATTGAAAATGTTTACTTCGTGAATCATCAGAATTACCTTTTTTGCAGATCCTCTCTCAAAGCATTGACGATCCTTCTTTGATCCAACCAGAAATCACAGTGGTTACAGCTTATTTCAACATTGGTTCCTTCGCCAAAGGAAGTAGTGCTAACACGTTTACTTCGGGCAAATATATGCATTGTATGAAAGTGTTTGGCAACATAACAAACAACCTTGTCGCATATACCGATTCGAAGGATGTGTACGATCTCTTCATGAACCTGAGGCGCAGGTTTCCCAGCAATATGACGAAAGTGTTCCTGATAGACAGACACAACCTATGGTCCTTCTCTTTGGCTTGTATCTACAAGCAGCCGAACTATCCAAGGCATCAACCGAACACCGTCAACTGGAACTACTCATGTGCAATGCATGCTAAGTTTGAATTGGTCATTGACAACAAAGTCTTAGCGGAGGAGCTGTTTCCAATAAAATATTTCTGCTGGCTCGATATTGGACTCTTCCGGGATCTTGCTGGTGACAAGAAGACCTTCAAGCTCCAGATTCCCAAAGAATGGGATCAACGGAAGGTTGCCTATACTGCAGTATCCTGCTTTAACAAACAGACGACAATCGCAAATGTTATTAAAAACAACATGGTGTGGGTTGGAGGCGCAATGTTTTTAGGAACACCTGAAGTGCTTCATAACTACACGGAAGACTACATGAATACGGTCAAGATGCTGTTAAATAACGCTTGATGAATACGGATCAGCAGGTTAAATATTCCATGTACCTGACATCCTCACAGGTTAAACCCAGAGTTCAGATACAAACATTCTCCCGCGAGCACAATCCTTATGATTATTGGTTCTACCTTGGGTACCTGTGCAGGGAGACATGGTTAAAAACCCAACCTCCTGTGAATACAACAGCCTTATAAACGACATCCTTTAGCCATGGTTCTGTCACTTGGTCCCCTAAACACTTACTGATTACAGAAAACTACAGTGTAAACTATTTTGATTTTTTAGAAATTATTATCAAACCATATCAAAGGTATTGGTTCAGCCACATAGAGACGCGAACAAGCTTCTTTGAGTGACATTTTAAGATTTGGGAAGTAAACTATTGACAAACATGATGAATAACAACTTCTCTATTTCGTGAGTGCAACGTGTAGATTTTGTACCGTTCCCAAGCAGGAATGTTACATAAGGGGGAGGGGACGTATATGTACTGAATGGAGAAAACAAAACAACATGATTAACATAATTGGCTAAACAGGCTTTAGGACAAAATTGGAATTCTGAACTCATCCATTATCTTATGATGTACACCACACACAGAGAAGTGCCACACTTGGGGGCGCGGTGGGCGAGCTGGCTAAGGCGCCAGGCTAGTGATCCAGTGAGCCTGAGGTGCCGGGATCGAGCTCACCTGTGACCGGGTGTAAACTTTGTGTGCAGACTCTTTCACTGTTGTCACAGCCACTAGTGTACAGTACACAACCCTGTGCACTTAAAAGATCCCACGAATATGTTGGGAAATGACCAAATGGTGGCCACATGAATACGTGCAACACCTAGTTCCGGGTACAGCAACGTGCAGTAAACTTGGACTAAGTACTGTGACTTAACAGCTTAATATCAGCCACATAAAAGCTACCCTAAGAGGTTCAAGAGGCGGCAGAAACAGAAGTACAAATGGTTGTGTTACCCTAAATCAACATTGTGGTGAGTTGGTCAATGTTCCAAAAAACTTTGTGCCCCATAACTTCAAAGTAACTTGTTTAATGCTCAACCTGTGAGGAACAAACCTCTCATTCTCAATGACTATATCCAGGACAACAACTCTGATGTCTTTGCTATCACAGAGACGTGGCTGACTGATAATGATACATCAGTTATAGAAGAATTAGTACCAGCGAACTATGACATACTGCAAGTAAACAGATCACACCGAAGAGGTGGGGGAGTGGCATTAATCTACAAACAATCTATTCATGTCAGGCGCAGTAACTCTGCAACATTCAAGTCATTTGAGTATGTTACTTGGACCAGAGTGTCCTCCTGCATCGGCTACAGACAAGACTCGGCTTCACAGGAACAGCTCTGGTGTGGATACGCTCGTATATCTACAACCGTACCCAATCTGTCCAGATCGGTGATATGTCTTCAACACACACACACATGGTGTATGGCGTTCCTCAAGGTTCAGTTCTTGGACCCAAGCTTTTCAGCCTCTACATTCTGCCTACTGGAGACATTGTCAGGAACCATGGACTAAACTAAACACTCCAGTGATCAACAGCATGAGCATCGATCTACGCAGTTGGGATACGATGACATGTGTCAGCCAAGTCAGCGAGCCTGACCATCCGATCCCGTTAGACGCCTCTTACTACAAGCATGGGTTACTGAAGATCAATTTTAACCCTGATTTTCCTTGTGCTTGTCAATACACACAGTGATCAAACTGTAACATGTTACAAAGCGTCGCCTGGAATAAACACTGGACAGCTAGCATGAATCACAGGCTGGTGTCAAACTAGTCAAACTTTCTTACATAACTATACTAGGCACAAAAAGAAACTGTGCATACAAAAATTTAAAATCTAAATTTATCAAACCTGTGTAGACACATAAGGATGTAAACTCAGAGATTAGTGACATGTATCCAACATGCATGCACGTGCCACGTTCCGTGACGTCAGTGGGTTCGTCCTTGAGACGTGCAGTACGTTGTTGCACGTGCATTCCGTGAAAGAGAAACAGAGCAAATGAATGCCACACAATACTGTCACCTTGGAAAGCTCTGCCCTTGCGATCGTTCAAAAAATTAAACAGCTATTGAGACGCATGGCATGCCAAGGCTCACGTCTGCACAACGTCATGAGGCCATTGGGATGGTCCGTGGGGGAATGTTTCAACGACAAGTGGCTGCACATTTCCACTGCCACCGGAACACCATTTCTGTACTGGTGAGGCGCTAGCAGAACACAAATGACGTGATCGATCGGCCACGTTCTGGACGTCCACATGTAACAACGCCAAGATAGGACAAATGGATAAGGGTGACCCATCTTCGCCACAGGTTTCAGACTGCAGTGATGACTTCCCGAACCATCCCAGGACTTCGCCGTATCCACCCCAACACAGTTCGACAACGTGTACGTCATCACGGGATCAGACCACGACGTCGCGCCATACGGCCTATCCTGACACAACGTCATCGACAAGCTCGCCGAATGTGGTTCCGAAATCATGTCCGCAGACCCTTGTTTTGGTGGAAAATGTTGTTTTCACAGATGAGTCCAGGTTTAACATTTCCGATAGTGATGGACGTCAACACGCCTATAGACGCGTGGGAGAACGTTATGCACAGGCCTGTGTCTTGGAGAGGAATCGCTTTGGTGGTGGTTCCGTGATGATTTGGGGTGGAATAACAGCACGCCAAAGAACTCCTTTGGTGATTTTGTTCAGGGCAACTTAACTGGTGTGGGCTACAGGCATCAGATTGTTCGACCTGTGGCAATTCCTTTTCTGCAACGTCATGTCCCTGGGTTAACATTCCAACAGGACAATGCCCGCCCTCATACGGCAAGGGTTGCTATGGATTTCTTGCAACACCACAACGTTGACTTACTGCCTTGGATCTCTCCCCGATAGAGCATGTTTGGGAGGAGATGGATCGACGTCTACGCCGTCTTCCTCATCCGCCAGATAACGTCCTTGACCTTGCAACAGAACTTGAGAGAATCTGGCGTGACATCCCAAAAGTCTTCCTTGCACGTTTGATAGGCTCTATGCGTCGTCGATGCACTGCTGTTCTCAATGCCGATGGTGGACATACCCGTTATTGAGCTTGTGACATGGTCGTTTGACCCCTGTCCCGCTTGTGGACTCGTCACGTCATTGTGATTGACTTTTCAATTCAAATTCTGCCGATTTGTTATGGTCTCATGATCCCTCCATTAAAGTTTATAAGTACCATTGACATTGTTATCGTACTTATCAACTGGGATAATATTTTGACAATGCACAGTTTCTTTATGTGGCTAGTATACATTCAAAAGTGAGCTAAGATTAGAATATTTCTAAGTACACGTGAGTATAACACTTTTCATGATCTGTATGTTTATTTGTTTGTGTAAAAAACACACGGTAACTATGTTGTACGTTGTTGTCACCTTGTATTGTGGCTGTTGGTCAACGGTAAAAATTCAGGGAAACTGTCGTGACGATCTAGGGGAAGTAACTCTGAATTGGGCACGCTTCTCGTACTGACGAAGTGTCGTAAAATTATATACATCTGACCATCGACCCACTCTTTGTCACAGCAGCCGTCACAAAGATGTTTAAATATTTTGAAGTTTAAGTGGATAGGTAATTCATGTTACTCTCGTGCAAATTAGCTGGGGATTTGTAAACAGTTTTATCCAGTACTTATTATTCTCATATATAGAAGAAAACGCACCACGGTTTGTAATTAAAAGATCTGGACCAGATAACCCAGTGTCTGACATCATGAGCATTAGGCTTGTGTTTTGTTTGTTTGTTTTTTAACGCTACACTCAGCAATGCTCCAGCTATATGACGGTGGTCTGTAAATAATCACATTTGGACCATACATTCCAGTGATTGACACCATGAGCATTAGGCTTGTGTTGTATTTGTTTGTGGTTTAACGCTACAATCAGCAATGCTCCAGCTATATGACGTTAGTCTGTAAATAATCACATTTGGACCATACATTCCAGGGATTGACACCATGAGCATTAGACTTGTGTTTTGTTTGTTTGTTGTTTAACGCTACACTCAGCAATGCTCCAGCTTATGACGGCGGTCTGTAAATAATCACATTTGGGCCATACAATCCATTGATTGACACCATGAGCATTAGACTTGTTATTTGTTTGTTTGTTGTTTAACGCTACACTCAGCAATGCTCCAGCTATATGACGGCGGTCTGTAAATAATCACATTTTGACCACACATTCCAGTGATTGACATCATGAGCATTAGACTTGTGTTTTGTTAGTTTGTTGTTTAACGCTACACTCAGTAATGCTCCAGCTATATGATGGTGATCTGTAAATAATCACATTTCGACCATACATTCCAGTGATTGACATCATGAGCATTAGACTTGTGTTTTGTTTGTTGTTTAACGCTTCACTCAGTAATGCTCCAGCTATATGACGGCGGTCTGTAAATAATCACATTTGGACCATACATTCCAGTGATTGACATCATGAGCATTAGTGAGTGAGTGAGTGAGTAGTTTTACGCCGCACTCAGAAATATTCTAGGTATATGGCGGCGGTCTGTAAATAATCGAGTCTGGACCAGACAATCAAGTGATCAACAGCATGAGCATCGATCTGCGCAAGTGGGCAATGTGTCAACCAAGTCAGCAAGCCTGACCACCCGATCCCGTTGGTCGCCTCTTACGACAAGCATGGGTTACTGAAGATCAATATTCTAACCGAATATTCACGGGTAGACAAGCATGGGTTACTGAAGATCGATATTTTGACCCGTATCTTCACGGGTAGACAAGCATGGGCTACTGCAGATCAATATTCTACCCCGGCTCTTCACAGGTACACAAGCATGGGTTACTGAAGATCAATATTCTACCCCGATCTTCACGGGTAGACAAGCATGGGTTACTGAAGATCAATATTCTACCCGGATCTTCACGGGTATACATTCCAGTGATTGACATCATGAGCATCAATATTCCTAATTCGGAAAAGAAGACAGGTGGCCATGTCAGTCAAGTCAGTTAGCATGACCACAGAGCCAGCGAAGAAACTTGGAAGATGAATACAGGAACACTTGTACTTTCATGTTGCTTTCCCTCAGTATATATACGTTACAACACAAATGCCGTGACATCAGAGGTGCTCGTATGTCAGAATATCGTAATCTGTAA